GGGTCAGGGGGCTGGGGGTGAAGTGGAGGCAGGGAGATGAAGGAGGAGGCTGAGATGGGGGATCTTGGGGAGGTGAGGGGGCTGGGTTAGGGAAGGGTCATGGAGCTGACTGGAGGGAAATGGAGGGCAGGGACATGGAGTGGGGGTCTGGAAGGCAAAGGGAACTAGTGGACAGGAGCAGGCCCAGGGTGTTGCAGGGAAATAGAGACATGTGGGGTGGGGTTGTTTATATGGATCAAGGAAAGTTGCAAATTCCCTGGGTGCAGAGAGCCAGGCTTAGAGGCCATGCCTTAGGACCACAGGTGTGAAGAGGTGTAGAGGCCTGCTGAAGAGCAGGGTGGGTGAAGAGCTAGGAGTAGAGAGAGGAGAGAGAAAGCGGACAGGGCCAATAGAAAGTGAAAGAGGTGAAGAGGAAGGATTTGGGGTTTGCAGACACAAGAATCAGCATTTTCTTCCCGTAAGGTCTCTGCCCTGTATTTCTACAAGCATCAGTTTTGTTTATCTTTCTCTTGTAGATCTTTGTGTCCCAGAGCTCTGAAACATGCCACCAAGTGGAGGGTTGTATGATTGTGAAGACCCCATCTACTGGAGGACAGTATTTGGTGTCTACTGGGATGTACTCAAAGCCAAAGGAGGCAAGCAGAAAAAACTTGCCGAGTTGGATAAGTGGTAAATCTTCCAGCATTTAATATGGCTTCTTTTGTACTCTATCGTATGAGGAGGTGCACGGTTCAGTGTAAAATCCCTGCCAACCCAACTCCATTAGTAACAGCCGGGTCTTCCAGAGCATGAGCTTCCTCACAGCAGTGCTCTGTCAGTACCAGCTGCAACTCCAGCAGCATGAACATCTGGGTTCAAGAAAATATTTTGACTCTGTCTACCAACGGATTTTTGTTTCAGGTATCAGGAGGAGCTGCCAGTTGCTATTGCAGGGAGGAAAGAAAAATATCTGACACGGGCTGAAGTAGTGAAACTCATGGAATGGAAACTAGCAGTAAGTAGCTTTCTCAGGTGAATCATTGTATGTAACATTTCAGCCATACAATCAAAGTGTGTGTAGTGGCAGGGAGGGTCTAAGGCTACATTGCAGCTTAAATTGGCAGAAGTGATGTTGCTTGACTGTGTGAATTAAACATCCCCTTGAAAGACATAACATATGCCAATTTAAGCACCTGCACGGTGTCAGTGAGAGAATTGCTACCAAGACTTGCAGGGACTGGAAAAATTAAACTCACGAGCCATAGAGCAACTACATTGGAGAGCTTACAGTAGTGCAGCTGCACCAGTGCCACTTTAAGCTCTATAGTGTAGTCATAGCCTCAGAGCCTTGAGGTCTGTAACATTTTCAATTACTGGTGGTTTTGAACTCTGATGATTATATTGATTTTTTTTTAAACATATGTGGTAAGAGTCTGATGCTGTCAGCCTTAAGGCCTCTGTAGTTGGCATCTATTTAATTCTGCTGTTCCTATTTTAAAGGTGTTGCCGTTAAGGAAAAAAAAAAATCCAGTCAAATCCTCTGCTCTTTCTGAACCATGCGTGATGTAAGACAGCGGGAGGGGCAATGGCATCTTTATTCTGCCTTTGTGACTCCTTAATTGAGGGGTTATTGTGGGCCCTGACAACTTATAGGAGCCTCAGGCTTGCTGTAATTGCAGTCAGCTACCCTCAGCCCTAAGGGATTGACCCAGTAGTCTGGGATCACAGAAGCATGTGACTTTTCTGCCACATGCAGTTGCTCAGGCTATGTCTTCTACACAGGATCTTACAGTGGAGAGGGTACAGTGACACTATGCCAGGTAGCAGCCTCCTCACCTTTTGGGTCTGGGGATTTGACCCCCCTTATTTAAAAGTTATACTGTTTGCCTCAGTAATAACATCTTAGAATATCAGAGCAGGAATATTTTTTAATCCGAGGTGTCCTGTTTGTTTAATTTTTACATTTCACACAGCTTGGTAATTTTCCTCTCACTAGCATAATAGAGCTGTGCGTGTGTTTCCACTAAAATAGAGGAACTATTATTTCAGTCAGATATATATGTAACATTAATACTGTACACAACTCTTTACAAACAAGGAGGCGGGCTCCCTGCTGCATAATACATTGCATGGGCTGTTGACTCACAGGAGGAGGGGTGGGGAGAAAAGTCCAAGGAAGGAGAGGAGCAGGAAGAAGGTAGGGGGCAAGGTGGAGGAGATGGTGGAAACTAAAGGAAGAGACTAGTGGTGTTGTAATGGAACAGAGGCTTGAAAGGGTGGTCAGAGGAGCACATGCTTAGGAATAGAAGAGGAAACCCCTGAAGCGATGCAAGGAGCTGGGAGCGATGTGCTCAGACTGTGGGTGAGGAAGTTGTAAATCCCACTCTCCAACAAAACCAAATGTTGCTGGAAATTTTTTTTTCATAAGGTCACGCAACACCTTGTCGTCCCCCAGAGCCTCAGTTCTGAGCCTCAGCCCACTTGGCCGTCTCCTTTTCAATAGTCATACAGCTCTTTCCTTCTTTGGACTATGCTTGAGGATAATGATCCCCTCCTGGGTTGTCTTCCTTCCAATCCCAAAACATCTCAACCTGGAAAATGCCAGGAAGGACTCTGCCTCTGGATCACTGGTGGCCCACAGACCGTGGCTTGGGAACCTCTGCTAAAAAGTAATAACCCTGGAAGAACTCATCGTACTCTTTCCACCATATGGGAAGGAACCATGGACACAGGATACTGAATCCTTTATAAAGGCACAGTTGCCGGTGCCCGTCAAGTACAGACTTTGTCCTCTGGCAGTGAGCTGTACTCACTTGCAGAGCGAAGAAGCTGAGGTCCTCAGGTAGCAATGTCCTCTCTTCTCTTCTCTCCTCTAGCGGGGAAAGTTTCGTCCTCGTCTGCAGCAGTTGGTGGCCACTAACTCCAGTGAAACAGTGGAGAGCTGTACAAGGAAAGCTTTCCAGCTCCTTCCAGATGTGGCAGGTGCCATTACTGAACTGAGCCGGCTGAAGGCTGTGGGACCAGCCACAGCTTCAGGTAAGGCATTGTGAGAGGGAGGGTATAAATCCAAGAGGGATAGGGCCTGACTATACCGATAAATAAAATGGAAAGGTAGTTCATAATTTTTCACAGCACTCTGTAAATAGCACCACCCAAATGGTGCTCGTAACAGTGGGATCCGAAGTGCTCATCTTTCCTGGATGCTAAACACTTCTGGGAGGCTATATTGGCCCTAGAACTGAGCACTGGGGAAAGGAGAGCGAAAGCGCCCACATCTGCAACTCCCAGTTCTTGTTTCCAATGGCCAGTTCTAACCAAAACCTTGGAGAGGAGACCTTTGCATGAGCTTGCTGCTGTGACTAGCAGGAGCAGCAAATCAAAAGCATCTGGGCTTGCATGGGATGGCACCTGCATTTGAAGGGATATGGCTAGGTCTCTGGCTCAGTGTGCTTCCGTGTGTGTGTGTGTAAAACGTAGGGATAATAGTGTAGTCGATTATCCGCTAGGCAAAAGCTTATAGGTTAATGCTAGAGGCTACACGCATTTCCCTCTCCCTCCCCCACAGAGGGGCTGCTGCAGAGCAGCACAGGGTGACAGGCAGCAGGTCTGTGTCCCCAAGAGAGGGGCTGCTGCAGAGCAGCACAGAGTGACAGGCAGCAGGTCTGTGAGGGGAGCTGGTTTTTAAACTGGCTCTCCTTACGGACCAGCTCCCGCCTGGCACCCTGTGTGGAGTGGCAGGGGACGCCTCAGGAGTGGGGCTGGAGCGCACTGGCTGCCAGCCCTGCCCCCGGGGAATATCAAATAGACGACTAACCAATAAGAATTCATGAGGCTACTCGACTTTTCAATTAACCAGTATCCCTAGGAAGACGGGCACAGTCACATGTGGGGGAATTAGAGACAGGCTCAAACTGCAAAATTGCAGTCCTCATTTCAGTCCCCCTTTCCTCCCAAATTCATGACTGTTCAGACACTCGGGGTTCTGGTTCAGTCACAGCTCTGCTGGGAATGCAGGTTGGACACAGCCTTTTGGGCTCCATTTCCTTGCTGCATCCTAGAAAGTAGGGTCAGAAGTCTCAGTTTCCAGGCATTCTGAGAGCTCGGACAGGGTAGGGGGAAGTGGCCTGTTTTTCTAAGACACTAGTGACAGTTGCGGTCATACCAGGCTGCCCAGTGTCTCCCTCTCCTAACCCCAACCCCTTCCTTATCTCTGCTCAGCACCTGCCACTCTTCCCCCTTAGCAATTCTAGCTGCAGGAGCACCAGAGGCTGCAGCATTTATGGCAGATGAAGCAGTGGAGTCTATTCCTGGCCTCACCCCAATTCAGTATACCCTCAAGCATTACATCCTCTACCTGGACAAGATCCAGCTTTGTGTCATGAAACTAAACAAAGGTAAGGGAAGTTGGGGTCACGGTCTCAGACCTCATGGGAAGGAGGACTACAGCTCTTGTTTTAGTTAAGGGCTTATGGTCTGCATTTCAGCAGTAATTTGAACCGCAGTGAACCCTTTCGTGCTTATCATGAGGTTGTCTTCATGATACAAGAAAACAATGGTTAGCGCAACTGACTAGGAGTCAGGATTCTGAGGATGCGTCTACAGTGCACCGTTATTTCGAGATAACTAACGTTATTTCGAAACAACAATGTGAGCAATTTTGAAATAACGGATGGCTTGTTCCAAAATTTGTAAGCCTCATTCTACGAGGAATAACGCCTATTTTGAAATAAGGCCTGTGTAGACGCTCCACTGCTGCTCTTTCGATATAGCCCTTGTAAACCTCATAATACGAGGAATAACGCCTATTTTGAAATTGCTATTTCAAAATGGGGTTAGTGTGGACACCCAGCTGCTCTTATTTCAAAATAACTACTCCTCAGAGTCATTCAAACTAATTAGTCCCCACTGCTTCCAGGGGCTCTACGGGTGTGTCTATCCAGCAAAGTTATTTCAGAATACCGGTAATGGCCGTTATTTCGAAATAACTATGTGAGAGTCTACACAGCGAGTTCTATTCTTGTCTCTGACACTGATTGAATGCTAAATCACGGAGGCAGAGGCATTTAAGCACTTTATTCCCATCAGTAGGAGTTAGGCTCCTTCGAGGATCTGGGCCCTAGTTTCTCCATGCTTTGGCTTCCCCCATCTGCGAAACGAAGGTAACATTTACTTACCTCTACCCAGATCATCCAATGAAAGTTGCTGTACGTACAACGTTGTTGCTATCTGAGATATTTCTGCCTCAAGTGATTAATTGCAAAGCAAATTAACTGGTCATCAAATTTAGGAAACAGAATTTAGTGATTTCTAGACCTGCACCTTACAGTCACTTGATAGCCATTCTCAGCCGAGTCAGCATTGAAACCGATGCTCTGCAAGATTTCTCTTATTAACTTTTCCTTGCCTTCTGTGCCCACTATGAATTTGCATTGCCTTTTCACTTGCCCGTCAATTTTTGCTTGACATTGTGGCCAGCTCAGTCTTCCTCCCCTGGTCTGTTTTCCTTCTGGGTTTTCAACAGTCGCCCTGTGACCATGATTTTATCCATGTAGTTTTCCTGGCCTGCTGCACTGTTAAACCATAGCAGCTGTAAGCTGTTGATAGGCCAGGATGGCAGAAATGCTCTCCTGCCCCAGGCCCTGGGCACAGCCACGAAACAGCAGCAGGGTTTGATCTTTCCCTTCCTCCCAGTCTGGTAGGACTGACATTCTCCACTCAGAAGAGGCTTGAAACTGGAATAGCCAGAGGGATGTTTGCAGGGCCAGAGTGAGGTGCAGTTGTAGGGTGGGAACCCAGGAGAGATGCTGCAGATCTGGATGAATGTGTATTGGCAGAGCTGGGTGAGGGAAGTCTGTCTCATTCCAATCTCCCCTATAAGCCTTTCATTCTACTGGGCCTTATAGCTTAACAAAAACTCATGTGGGAGATGGCGGGAGGACAGAATCAACAATCTGTCTGGTTCCTCTACTGATGCAGATGAATTGCTCCCTTCTGATCTTTTCTAGCGGATGCAGAGACAGCATGGACTCCTCATCACGTGGAGAGGTGTCTCTGGGCCTGGGCCGTGGCACAGAAATTGTGTCCTTCACTGCTGCAGACTCCAAGCTTAGGGGGAGAGAAGGCAGCTGATGAGGTCAATGAGGATGTTAGACCCACAAAGAAACGGAAAACAAAGTGAAAACATCAGCAGCAGCCAGGAACTTCACAAGCACCACTCAGTGTTTTGCCTCCTGTTTGCCAAGGTACAAGTCAATTAAGTGACAAAGCCGAGCAATATTTAGATCCCCGAAGAGTGCTTTTTCTGGGGTTGGTCAGGGAATGGGTCAAATTGATGTGGTGTAGCAAGGAACAAAGGGGAGCTTTTCTGTTTGAATCACCCCCCATTTGGAGCCAAAAGGGCTCTTCCAAATGGAGCTCCCTCCTGTAAGTTATGTTCCTCAGGTTCTAACTCCTCCAGCTCTCTGCTTGGGATGTGCATGGATTTTTACACTAATTCCGTAATAAACTTTTTATGTTTTTTCTATTACCACGTAGTAGGGGTTTACTTGGTGTGCAATAGGATAACGATGTGCCAATGGAAGTGCCCTCTCTCATCCCATTTCAACTACCTCCTAAACATGAATGGATCTACCTAAGTGCCATCTTGGTCCCAGCTCTGGTTTCCTGGACCATTTACCTCCTTCATCTCCAATAATCCAACTGATTGAAGATTTCTCCAACTGGAATTGTACCCAGAGTTCTTCCATCAGAATAGCTGTGTGTCATGATCCTTAAAAGTGCTGGCAGTGTGCTCAGCCCTGAACAAAAGACAGCATGAAAGTATCTGCTCTGGAGAGCTTATGCTCTGGGTGAAGCCACCATGGGTTTTATTTTCCCTTTCTTTCTGTTCTCTCCAGTCGGAGACTAGCACTGTTGCCATTATTGGCAAGACTGAATGGGCTGGGCCCTGAAATGCATTGGCACACCTGGAATGAAAAAGTGCTGCAGCTCAGACCCCTGGTACATTGGCAAAGCTGTGGGGTCTCAGGATTGGAACAGCTGAGGGGTGGAATTGTGTGGAAGGGAATCCCTACAGCTAGGATATGAGGAGTTGCTGCGGGGAAGGAATGAAATGCAGTGTCACTTCATGTCTCTTCCCCTTCTTGCTCATCTCTTGATGACTCTTGGAGATCCATGTCTTGTACCCCATTAAATTGGATGAAGCAGAGATGAAGGCTGTATGTGGCCAAGCTGTCTTTCAGTGGCTCAGGAGAACATGAGTGCCAATCTCAGGATGGAGTGTTAGGAACCAGGGTGCAAACCCAAATTGGCTTAGAGTTCTATTTAGATTTCACCTCCAGTTATCAAGTGTAAACTCATCATGCACTGAAATATCCTTAACATGGACAAAGACAAGGACAAGTCACTTAACCTAACTCAATTGCATTGTAGATCACACCAAAGACAATGGTTGTAGCCAGTCCATCCTATACTAAATAAATATGTTATTTGCAAGATTAAGATGGCTGAACACACACACACACACACACACACAAGATCCAGTCTTAAATTGCAAAATGTGATAGCTGCTTTTTTAAATCTGCCCATTAAGGCTAACCCTAGCTAAGCACTGGGGTTCTCTTACTGATGCCTAGAAAACCTTGCCCCTCAGAGTACAAGCAGCACAGAGATGGAGTTCCTTCTTGTTAGATTTATTCCTTCTCCCCTTTGTGTTTTGAGCTATAAACTCAGCTGAAGGGAGAATTCACTTGCATGATTCATCTTCATGGGGCAGGGAAGAGGTGGAGATGAGAGTAAGGAACAGAGACTTTTGTCGTCTTCTCTTCCACAATAACGTGTTTGGTATTGATGGGTCTTCCATTTTAGGCAGGACCTTTGTTTGGAGACCAGCATTTTACACTAGTTAATGTCTCACAGTTGTCTGGTGATTTACAGAGAGGTGCTCACAATGCAAGGCTGTGTCTAGACTGGCCAGTTTTTCCGGAAAATCAGCCACTTTTCTGGGGCTTTTTTGTGCAAAAGCACGTCTAGATTGACACGGACGCTTTTCCGCAAAAAGTGCTTTTGCGGAAGAGGATGCCAGTCTAGACGTGGCCCAAGTGTTCAAATATCTGACAACTGTTAAGGAGATTCATGCCTGCAGCAACTCAAAGATCATGTTTAGACTCTATGGAATGCGTAAGTCTAATGCTTGTTTTAACAATGCTAACACAGGTGAGCCAGAATGTTTCCAACTATTTGTTTATAACGTTGGAGACATGGGTACATTGGTATGAGCTGGCACCTAATCGCCTCAGCTATTTGGTGTAGCCTTTGGGTTACTAGATAATACTGTTTAAGTTATAACCCTTAATATTCCCAAGTTACCGTACCAGCATTAACAAATTCAGCAGACACCTGTCAGGGATGATCTAGACAGTGCTTGGTCCTGCCATGAGGGCAGGAGATTAGACTCAACCTCTCAAGGTCCCTTCCAGCTCTAGGATTCTATCTGAAGGTAGCCACGTGTGTTATGAGATGCCACGGACTTGGACTATGCCGTAAGGCACTGATGAATTACAGGTCTGAACGGCATGGAATTCGGCGGCAGACCAGTAATTATGCACCAGTGAAAGCAGAGCAGAATCATTCAGCAGTTTTACTGGGTCATTTAAAACAAGTGCACAAAAATTTAATCTGTCTAAGGGCTATTTGCATTGTCGAAGAACAATCTCAACAGAGGGCTCAGGACTGAGAACATTTTACCCCTCGGCCATCAATTAGGTGTCGTGTAGAGGAATTCTTCTGTTGACCTAGCTATCCTGTCTTGTAGAGATGGATTAACTATGTCAATGGATCAAACCAAACTGCTGATGCATGAAGGGCCTACCCTACAGCAATCCAGTTGCACCATTGCTGTAGCATCGGCATGTCTGTAAGTTAAGCTCTCGTTAGAGTATGCTAGTGCTACAATAGCACAGCGGCAGCATGGCAGCTGTGCCGCTGTAGTGTAGATTGTGGTTACAGAGACGGAAGGGTTTTCCCATTGATGTAAGTACTCCACCTCTCCAAGAGGCAATAGCTAAATCAAAAGAGAAGAGTTCTTCCATTGACCATCTGTATCCACAGCCAAGTTTAGGTCGACCTAACTATGGTGCATGGGGCATGACATTTTTCACAGCCCTGAGCAATGTACCAAGGTCAACCTAAGTTTTGGGGGACAGAGAGGCAAGGTGGCAAAACAGGATCTAAGGTGGTGTAGATCAGCAAAGGGCAATCAAAGCTAGTGAATGGGCCATATGTGGCCCACTGAGGCAAAGGAGAGTCACTCAAGATTGTAATCAGATGTGCACACTAACCATGACCCCAAGAATATGATTAAATACGTGGCCTGCTAAATATTTCAAAACAAGTAGAAATGCTTTAATTATCCATATATTAATAGAACTGTCATCAGCTTCAAATTAGAAAAAAAGAAACATTTACACTTACTTTACAATAGCAAATCCCTGCCTGGCCTCTTCCCCCATCTCCTCTCCCAAGCACATCCCATTCCTGTTCCTCCCACTCCCTCCCAGCACTTCCAGAGCCCCATGAATTGGCTGCTGATTTGTGGCGATCAAGCTCCAGGGACAAGTGGGGACGGGGCACGAATCAGCCAATTTATGGTGTTCCAGAAGTGCTGGGAGGGAATGGGATGAGCAGGTAAATGCAGGGCCCCCAGTGAGCAATAGGTGCAGGGATGGGGCAGAGAGAGGGTGTGCAGGCCACATATGGAACCTCGATTGGACACAAGTCACCCATGGGCCAGAGGTTGCCCAGAACTGGTGAATGTTAAAGACTAATTTACACCTCCTCATGACCTCTCAGGATAAAATTCATACTAACCGACTCCCATACACATAAGGACTAAAAAAAGATATTTTCCATCTTTTCCATTTTCTGTATTTGGCTCAAGTTTGTACACAAATACAATGAAGCAAGTCTAGTTATCAAAATTTGACAGGAAAACCTGTTGGCCCAGCAACTCATTGGGTGAATTACCATATAAAGGTTTCGGCACTATTTAGGACTTCCTATCTGTGTCTATTTGTATCCCTGTTTAGCTGTCTAAGTCAGTGCTCTCAAATTCACGGCCCACAGGCCATCTATGGCTGGAGCAATTTTGCAGTCTAGCTCAGTTGTCCCTGCAGCCTGGGGGAAGGGATCCACACTCAACACTCACTCCTACCTGCCCCACCCTCTCCTCCTCATTGCACCTTTTCCCCTGAGAGATGCAGCCTTGGGGATTACTGGGGGGGGGGGGGGAGGGGCCCATACTCCCCACGGCGCAATGAAGGGGAGTGGGTGGGGCGGTGGCAAGAAGGGGCAAGGTTGGGGGATGGGTACAGACACCCTGCCCTCTATCTGGTCTCCCCCAGGCTGGATTGCGAAAATGTTCCTGCCATAGATGGCCCATGAGTTTGAGATCCCCTGCTCCAATTCCTCCACAAAGCCAGTACCAAAGAGAGAAATTAACAGAGGTTGCCTATCTCCTAGAGCTGGAAGGGACCTTGAAAGTTCATTGAGTCCAGTCCCCTGCCTTCACAGCAGGACCAAGTACCATCCCTGACAAATTTTTGCCCCAAATGGCCTCCACAAGGATTGAACTCACAACCCAGGTTTAGCAGGCCAATGCTCAAACCACTGAGCTATCCCTCTCTCAAATGACTATGGTAGTAATTTAAGGCTAGCTTGCACAGCCCTTACTTATACTAGGTTAATGTAGCTACTTGTTTACATGTTCACCAACACCAGTAAGGGTTACACAACCTCACCCTTGCTTTTGGCAATGATTTCCCCCTAGATCTCCACCAATTTTTAAAGGTAAGCTCTTTTGCAGGGGAGCTCTGAAATACCTACCATGGTGTACTTTTAAATGGATGGCAGTTGTTCCTTTGCACTGCATCACAAAAGTTCCAAGCAATGCGATTTCGGGTCTCCCGGAGGTCCTGGTACAATAGGTTGCTGAACTGGTGGTGATCCTGATAAAAGGCTTAACAAGAGTTTTCACACCAGCTGAGGATCTGCCCCCTCAAGTGTCAGAGAGCATTCTCCAATTTCTGATCAGCAAAATCAAACTGAGACCCTCCTACTCAGGAATAATAAATGGCCACATGCAGATTCACACAAAACCAACAAAGAGGGGTGAATTAAAGCCAATTCTGTTAATTTGGTGCAAATGTGTGCGGAGGAGGCCAGAGAAGTGAATTGAACCAAAGACAAAGGGGGGCTGATTCCTACAAGGAAGAGCCTTTCCCTTCACATGTCTTAGCCAAACAGATGTCCAGACAATTCAGCGCTGGCAGCTCCCATAATGCAGTCATTGGCATTTTTCCTCTAAGCCCCACCTTCTGAGCAGTGCATGAGAATGCTGGCTTTCATTTGCACAAAACCCAAATGTGTTTCTGGCCTTTCTGGTATGGTTTCAGAGAAAAACGCCTCTGAAAAAAACAATCCCTCAAGCCTCCCAGAGCAGAAGATGAACACAATGAACCCAACATACAT